AATGGTTAGCTAGATTAAAATGGCGGGAAACTGGTTTGGTGGGATCGTTATTGCGAATATCATAAAGATGATTGCAAATGCGATCACCAAGACGGCGGCCAGTCTCGCCCACATACAAAAGACTACAGCGGGTACATTTAATAAAATATACAACATTAGAAGTGGTACGAACACTCAATTCTTAGAAAACGTGCTGAAGTGCATGCGCAAACGTTTTTCTCTAGTGTCCGCCCCGTGTTCTTGCCGTACGTGTTACAGGTATTTGATTGGATGCAGAGTAGATTCTCGCGCAATGTGATTGGTCTGGCGTATGCCATGCCTTTCCGCTCGCTTTTCACAGTCATACGAAAACTGCTTTATTACAATAATTTTCACGCTGTAGTTATTCTCTTGTTGCTATAGTAACGGAGCCAACGCAAAACTTAACGGTGGTAGGCACTACGACTTCCCCTTCATCAGGAATGGACCTCAAGCATAGGCTACTCTTTGTATTGCTGGGATCGCTTTTTGGTATTATTTTAATCGTGGTGATAGTGCTTGCTCTCATGTGCAAGTAAGTAAAAATTATGATTTCGATGAGGGGTTGGTGTAGAACTAACTAAAAAATAGAGTTGCTAAGCATTTACCCGGAAAAATTCGAAAATCCGGATGAAAAATATGATATGTGTCATTGCCATCAAAGAGTTGAGGAAGAACCGTGGATCAGTATTCATATATGATTGAGGTAATCCAGTTTATTCCGCCTTTTTTGAGACTTCCGGTAGACGCGTGTGCCCTTTCTGGGAAGTCTATAAGTTTCATGATTTTTTACAATAGCAAACGAAATAGACCTAATTCCTCTTGGCTCAATGTTTACCCATTTTAGACCACGTGTCATTCCCTTGAGTATCATTTCTTTGCAATGGTATCGCATGAGAAGACACATGAATATGGATACAACTTAAACAAAGATCTTATTCTCTAGGGAATGGCATGGGTAAGCATTGGAATAAGATGAATTAGTACATAGGTGGTGTACGACATGGTAAGAACCCCTGGAACAGGGTGTTGGAGGAAATAGAATTGTCCACTTTACTCACCCACCCACTTCTTCATGGTCTTCTCACTCACACTCACTAACTCACGCATACACTCACTCATACACATTCATTTTTTTCATTTAAGTACCTTTTTTTATTTTGACTGGTAAGGTATGGGAGGAAAGCTAACCAAAGGACAGTAACACCTATTTCAACGGACGCCAGCGATGAACCACACGAAAATTCGCCTCCTCGTCCTGTTTGGTCGGAGAAATCAAAGAATAAAAACAAGAAATGACCACTGAACTAATCAAACTAGTGCGATTGGGAAACAATAGGAGGAATTCTTACTTGTACTGCACTGGACTATTCGTAGTATTGATGGTTTTCACGGCGGCCATGTTGGAGGAACTTAACAAAAGAATTGTCAGTGAATAATTTTGTTATATCCTTCAACATGGCCGCCGTGTCTTTTGTTATTCAATTCTCTTGGGAATGGTTGAAAACCATCAATAGTTGTTATAACTGACGATTTTTGGTACATTTTAGTTACAACGTCATTTATATGTGCTGTAAGCAAATGACGTCACTTTATAGTCATATTATGAGAATTGTAATTTAAACAAGAAAGCGCACGAGTTTTGTACACATTCATAGCTAGCTACTAACGACTAACTTAATTTTACTCTAAAGCTAAATGAAAGGCCCAAGAACTGAGATTAGTAGAAAAAAACATTTTGTCAACAAGGCTAAATGGGACTTTCCCATTTATTTGAAAGGGGGTTCAGTAAAATGACTCAAATTCTCTCAAAACTCGTCACAAACATTATGAATGGACAAACACGCCTTGGAATAAGGGTAAATTTTATTGAAATGTTTCCATTGAATTACGGTGTTTTATTCTTGGTTTTCACCTACGCCATCAAAAATTTTGCCAGGGTCTATAAGAAACAAAACTTCCAAAGGCAAAAAGACTAACCAAAACTATTTAACTCAGCCAAAATTCTAGCAAAAAGAAGTTTTAGATACCAAGATACAAGCGATTGATTAGTATAATTTAGTTGAATTTGTAACGTAACTACAACTGGACGCTAAGGCTGCATTCATAATGTATGGCTGAGGGGGGAGGCAGGTGAAATTTAGGGGGGATCGGAAAAATATTTACCAGTAAAATGGTGAATAGACATGCGTGAATAGACATTCATTTGTATCATCGTCCCCCCCCCCCCCCCCCCCCGATCTCAGTAGTTGTTCCTATGCAAAAATGTGGGGATTTCAGTCTACAAAAACAATTCAGTGCATGGCCCTTCCAGGGCTCCTTAGGGATTTTGAAAGGGGTACCCTGTTTATGACAAAAAAAACAAACAAACAAATTTGTAGACCCTGTTCATGACAAAAGATATGATTTATTGCACTGCGTTCCTGTTTCAATTATCATGTCATCTCGCGTATCGTTTTTTTAAGTCCATAACCAGTTTCGATCAATACGAAAGTAGAATCCCTGAATATGACAGGAAACTCAGGAAGAACTTTGAACTTGAGTGAAATTGCATACCTTGTTTATGACAAGAAGCTCGAAAACCCATACCCTGTTCAACGGATCATCCCCGTATAGTCCATATGTGGGAGTACCCCCCGCCCCCTACCCTGGACGTGTTTGTATCTAATTTAGATTGCGTGGACCTATATATTCAACAGTTTGACTGAATGCACTCTACCAAGTGAGGATATGATATAATATAACGTGGTTAAAGAGATGTTAGCGAGTCGAGTAAGTTATTTAGCACGGGCTAGTCGGCTTGTGAAGCATTCAAGGCTTCTTAGTACTATTGCTAATGTTAAGGAACAAAAGTCTTTAGTCACTGAAGTGCACAAGAAGGACTCTATGCTTCATGTTCATTGGAACGACCAATCCGTCAGCCGTTTTCCATACATCTACCTCAGAGACATCTGTAACTGCCCCAAATGTTTAGACGCCAAGTCTTTCCAAAGAAAACTTGATATTGTTGGACAAATCGACCTCAACATTCAAGCTAAAAGTGTCGAGGTAACACAAGATGGCCAAAAAGTACAAATAAGCTGGCCCGATAATCATGTCAGTGAGTTTGATTCAAGATGGCTTCACCAAAACAAGCTTAAAGAGAGGGGAGACGTAGTAGACGAAACGAAAGGAATTGCTCGCGAAAGTGTGACTCTCTGGGATAGAAAACAAATGCAAGACAAACTTCCAAGATTCATATTCGAAGACGTCTTGAGAAAAGACGAAGTCCTTTACAACTGGTTGTTTACTTTGCACGAATTTGGAATTACGCTATTAGTTGATGCACCTACGAACTCAGATCCAATAGCAGCCCTGGTTCTTGCTCAGAGGGTTGGTTACAACAAGGCAACACATTATGGGTAACTTTTATATATWTTTTTTATTTAGGAACTACTCATTATTTGTGTGTGAGGAAGAGGGGGTGAGGTGTGGGAGGGTGAGGGATGACGAAATTTGGTGACCCTTGAACAGGTTTTTAGCAGGAACCTAGCCTGCGAAAATCCGGATACACAGGCTAGCAGGAACCCTAATGCGATGCATCGGATTTTAAGTACGGTGTGAGTTGAGTTGCTTGTTAACTAGTCCTCTCCTGTGCTTTGAGGGTTTTTCTCCAGTTTTGCTGCAAGCCACAAAATTATCAGCTTTAAAATTGGAGCTCAAAAAAAAAAAAAAAAGAAGAGCCACTCTTCTGATAAAAATTGCCTTAACATTAATTTTAGTGTATAACAAGATATTTACTTTGAATGCAACCAAAAAAGTATGGACTTGGTGGATTAAGGGATTGTGCATGGTTCCAGAAAATATCCATACCCCACCATGGAGGAAATTGGAAATTCCCAGGGGGTGGGGGTCAGAAGAAAAATTACAGAGTTTGTATTTGGAAAACAATTTGGAAATTCTAGAGGGGTGGGTGGGAGGTGGACCTTTTTTAAAGTTCCTCCATACATTCAATAATGCTGTGAACCATGAATTATGAAATGCAGACAGAGAAAGCAATCAATATTGATCTTTCTTTTAGGTTCAAATTTGATGTACATGCAAAGTTTGATGCAAACAACCTGGCTTACACAACAGAATATCTTCCTCTTCATTGTGATATTCCAACAGCCAAGAATTACCCAGGGGTAAGTTGAATTTCCTCTCGCACTAAAAGTCTAATTACAAATGTAGCTGCACTTATTAAATGTTTGGGGTTTCATATGCTGTGTTAATTCGGGGGGCTGGCGTTTATTTGTTTATTTTAAAAGATGTGTCTACCACATATATACATAATGTGTAACCAATGATTTAATACAAAGTGAGTAGAAACGTTTAAGAAATACAAAATACTGAAGCTTTTTGTATAAATAAAAGTGATGCTTTTTTTTAAGGGCTGTACTTCTCAGGACTACATCCACCCGGATGATCATAATACAAATATTGTTACTTCAATAAACATTCATTTACCTGGGTCCAGACCATTCTATTCAATACAAAAGTGTGATTTTTTTTTAGAAGGGTCCATTTCACAGACCAGCCTTTACCAGTGGCAGATCCAGGATTTTTCAAAGGGGGGTTCCGTTTCTTAAACTGTGTATAATTCTCTTTTGTTTAGTCGATGTTAGACTAAAAAAACTTGGCTCTTATCACCTAATTTACTATCTAGTAACGGAACTTAAAGGTAAATTAAACATTATAACAGCAAATATCTATCATTTCGTGTTCAACATTATCTTTGTGGATACTTTTAAGCAAAATTTATATAAGACATATTTCTATTACCTAAAAGATCAAATCTTCAAGGGGGGTTTTGTGGAACCCTTCAACCCCCTCTGGATCCGCCACTGTTTACTGGAACATATAATTACTGCACAAGATCAAGGCTAACCCAGAGCAACAGAAAACTCGTAACTGGAGTTCATTAGATTGCATTAAGAAGGTTAATATATGATGTCCCTTCATTATTTTAGGTCCAGATTCTACATTGTCTAGAGCAAGTCCCAACAAAAGGCGGATCAAATCAGTTTGTGGATGGCTTTAAGATCGCCCAAGACTTTAAGAACAAGGAGCCAGAACTGTATGATGTTCTGTCAAAGACACCAATTCCTTATGTGGATATTGGTGCAGATGTCTTTGGGGACTTTCACCTCAAGAATACTTGGCCTGTTATTGAGTAAGTATCTGTAATGTTAGACTTTACTTGAATAATCTTTAAGAGTGCAATCTCTGGTTAAATTTTTTCTTGATTTTCTGGAAATCATTATATTTTTAGAAATTTCTTCCAAGTGCCCCTTTACTGCTGATTTCCATATTCTGCGAACTCAGATATTCCAACTGCTTGTTGTGAAATTGTCTTTTCGCTGCCGCCAGTCAAAAACATAAGAGGTACTGACTGATTATTTTTGATTTATGGCAGCAAAAAATAAATAAATAATTTTAGTGTGCAGCTTGTAACTACCGCGTTTGCAGAATATCTAAAACTGCAGTAATGATGCTGGACAATAATGTCGATGAGACTGTTTATTTATACCCTTTTAGTTATTCATCTATCCCATTCCATCCAACCTATTCATGTATCCATGCATGCATCCTTCCGCCTATCCATCTTACCATTTTGACACCTTACCATCCATCCATATGCATCCTTCCTGTCTTCTATTCATCCTTCCTTCCATTCATCCACACATTCTTTCTTTGATCCTTCTATTCATCCCACTTTCCATCTGTTCTTTCCTCCATCTGTCCACCCAACTACCCATTCATTCATTCATTCTTTCTTTCATTCATTCATTCATGCCTTCTTTCACTCACTCACTCTCTCACTCACCTACTCACTCACTTACTCATTCCTTCCTTCATTCATTCATTCATCCATCCATCCATCCATCCATCCATCCATCCATCCGTCCATTCATTCATTCATTCATTTCAATAATTCATTCATTTCCATTTTTCTTTCCCTAGTGTGCTATAGCTTTGTAACAGGTCCTTTATTTTCTAGATTGGATCATAACAAAAAGATACGACGCTTCACATACAACAACCACGTACGAGACTATCACCTCACCAGCCCCCCAGAAAAAGTCTGTGACATATACAGGGGCTACATGTTGTTGGGACAAATGATGAGAGACCCTGAAAACAAGATAGACCAAAAGCTGCAGAAAGGCGAGATGGTAACRTTCAATAACAGTAGGGTACTTCATGGTCGGAGTGAGTTCACCCCCACTAGGGCAGGCAATCGGCATTTACAGGGGACATATCTTGACTGGGACTTGATTTATGCTAGATTACGTTCGCTTGGGCAGTCCCTTGGGCGACCTTTTAATGAGTGATTGAAGAGAATGGGTGGGCCCATGAAAAGTTAGCCATGTCAGGTCAATACAGGTAACCCATGTGACGAAATGCATGCAAAAGAAAAAAGTTGTGAGTGAAGGTTATCATCCTGGTTTAGTTCTATTACCAATTGAATAGTGATTTGGAATGTTACTTTTTAGTTTCTACTGATTTCAGACTGCACCCTTTGGTATAAAAACCTAAAAATATATCTTGGCTAACATGTACTGTATTATACATATATAATATTATAATTATTATTATTATTAATTCAAAAAAAAAAGAAGAAAAATCAAAAAGAAAAAAATTAATACCATAAATAAATAAACGGATAAAACATGTGAAAAATGAAACTTTTTTTGCACGCAGTAAGTTCAGCTATGCAAGCTTTTTAGAAATTGTTATGTGCATCATGACAACTGCGTAAATCATGAAACAAAATATATTTTGTAAAAAACATTATTCCAGTTAAAAAAAATAAAAACTCGATTTGTATTGTCCAGGCTAGTTAGAGAAGGGTCTATGTATCTATTATTTGATATTATAACTAGACAATATCATTTTAGGGTTAATTATTTATGATAGTATTACGGTTTAATTACTTGGAAAGGTGTCATTAGTGTTAAATAAGTGCTCAATCACTAACAAAAGTTACCCTACCTTTTACTAAATTGATTTTCGCATTCAAGTGTAAGCAGGACCGATATGAGTGGCAATACTTTAGCTAAGAAGGACTTCAGGCAAAAAAGTTTAGTGCGATGTCCTTGCTTGAATTAAGTCATTGGTACGAGAAATGAAATGCCGAGATTTTTGGACCGTTTATGAAATATAGGAATTCAGAGAACATATACTTGCAAGCTGTTTCAACTCCACAAGAAAAAGCAAACCGCTCAGCAGTGGTCGATCTTCAACAGGGAGTAGGGACTTTTCAAAGTCCATCATGGTGTACTAACATTGCATCCAACATTGGTGAATCTGGAATGACACGTTGCAAAATATCCACACATTGTTCTAAAGAGGCATCTTCCTTCAATAAGCACACTTGCTATAATTTGATTTGGTCAGTGGTTTTCATGTTAGTGCAACCTGATTGGCTAAAATTGTCAAAATRTTGCAAGCGATGTTGCAGGCAGAAGCCAGGGTATGATTCCGCTTGTGAAGGTTGTGCACAATGCAACAAATTCCAGGGGTCATTGGACATACGCTGCAACATTCCTATYGTTTCACCTTGTGTCTGTTACTCTATATCACTTAAAGACGTGCTGAAACACAGGCATGCGCAAACGATTTCTTGTGCCCCTAGTATTAATAACTTATTAAATTATTTTGTTACCAGAAGGGAAGGCAGAAGTAGTAGGTTAGTTTTCATTGCATAAATAATCTTTTGAACAGCTTACTTTTAACTTTACATACTTTTATTTAAAAATAGCCTTATGCTATTAATGTATAGCTAAATTATTTTAAAAACTAATTATTTTGACACATCGCTTTTTAGTTTAATGTATTTATACTTCTGTATTTATGAGTGAGATGGATGGAAGTGGTGAGAAAATGAGTGACCAAAAGTCATAGTCTATTTTTAGTGACTTTTTAAAAAAATGTGAGAACTTAGACTAAGCCGAACTTCACATGAACCAGACATTTATAAATGGTTAAAAGAAGGGCACTTACAGATCCAATGTTTTCCATGCGTATATGGCTCGTGCGAAGTTTGACAATATTGACCCAAGTCTCCCTCCTTAAAAAAATCAACTTCTAATTTATGAATGGTCTCTTAGTTCACTAGTATTTGACAGCATTTTTCATTGATCATAACTGKTTTTTTTTTATTAAGTTTGTCATTAAAAGGTTTAAAAGTTTCCACCAATCTTACAATAGTTATATATTACTTGTGAAGTTTTGCAACATTGAAAAATGAAAAATTATTGTTTAATTTTCAAAATGATAAATTCAGAAATTGATAAACTCTTCTTCTTCTACTTCTTCATGCAGTATCTTTTTTTTTCTTTTTCTGATCTAGGATTCTTGCATGTAAACAATGATATTCTCTATTTGCAAAACTAGACCCCTTTAAAATTAATAGACAATTTTTGATTTCAAAATTACCGCTGTGTTTCTTGATTACAGACTCATTTACACAGTGTTAGCCTCGATTTTGTGCAAAATATTCACATGTTCCAGTCAAGGTTCGCCAAGTTTCAAAGTGTTTGTATTGTTGAAGTTGTGCATTTTTTACTTTACTGTTTATATTTGTGAATATTTAGACGCTGATACAAGGCTAACCCTGTGTAAATGAGTCTGTATTCAATGAACACAGTGGTAATTTGGAATTCGAAAATGGTCTATTTACGTTATATGTTTACAAGTACTAGAAAATAGTAAGCACTCATTCATGTCAGTCGAAAGGACTGTTGTGTCAAACAATAGAACGAATCTATTGCTTTAATCACAGCTTTTCTGTGTATAAGTTGACGTGCACTTGATAATGCATATGTTTTTATTATTGTTAATGTCAATCAATACATATTTTTTGTCAGGGTAGGGATGGGATGGAGGGGGATATTGACATCTTCATTTCAGACACAGCCAAATTCCCTCACTCCAGGAATCTAATCGTATTCTCACTTAAAACATTCAATCCTTTCTAGGGCATGACAAATTTTATACCCTAGGAGAGAGGGTAAAATTCTTATAGCTTTCATCTTGCCTCACCCCACCCACCCTGGGGTTTAGTATTGATATAACAATGATTAAAAACAAAGCTTGGCCACAACATATACTAAAATAGTCTTATTTCAATAAAGTTAGTCACCAAAAACCTAGAAAACTGAGATCACTAGGGATCATGGGAAACAATTCATTATTTTCAAACAAGTAAAGCTTTTTTGATACAAACTGCAGCTCGAGCATGCTCAGAGGTGAGACTGTAACTTGTAAAAGATGTGCAAGTCCATCAATAGTTATCAAGCGGTTGAAACGTAAAATGTACCTACCCGTAATCCTTGTCGGCCTCAGCTTTATATCTTTTCAGGTGACTAATTTTATTGAAATAAGTATATACACATCTCAAACAAGTCTATTAATAGTTAGAAATAAAGATGCACCCCTAAACCAAAAAACTCCACAGTGCATGCATGAATATATACTGAAGTTTTAAGGTAGGAATTCTCATCTAAAATTTAGCATTAATGACAGTGTTCGTTGACATCGACAATTTTTGTAGCCTTCCAACCAAAGAGAAAGTATCCACAGCCAGCGCCGAGCACAATAGCAAGGCATAGCCAGAAGTTGTACGTCATGAAGACCAACATCAGAAAGTAACTGAGGGTGACTTGTACCATGTGCAGGAAAGTCTGACCTATATGGTGACCATCGCACATCTTTGACCTGTAAGACCAATGGCACATCACATCTTTAGGAAAATCTTTCAAGAAAACATTTAAGGTAATTATAAATACAATCCCAAATCAATGTTGGTAGGGCATTGGTAGTGTATCATAGGTTGTTCGTAGCAGGTTAGTAGGTTGTTGGTTGGCAATTTGTGGGTAGGATATTGGCAGGTTAATGATAGGATATCATCAGGTTATTGGTAGATGTCGGTCAGTAGGTTGCATTGATGGTATGGAACAAAAGAATCTCGGTATGTTAATAATTAACAATAGTCTCTTCATTTTTTTTTTTTTAATGTTGAGATACCCAGAGTCCTTGCCAAATCTTCTTAGCAAAGCCTTATATATGTTTATGCATACAACACAGTTATAAAATAGGAGCTAGAGAATGCTACATCTAACAAACTCTAATGACAAAATCTTGATGTCCGCAGGAATAAAGTAAATGCTCTGGTCAAATAAAACTTTTTTTGAAGTTACACAAGCAAGGCTCTACATCCCATATGAAACCTCCCATACTCACACAATACTCCCTTTCACAGTTCCTTACACCATCTTGAAAGGTAGCTGTTATTATTCGAATGTCTCTATCATTGAAACCACACTGTTTGTCTCACTTGAATGCAAAGGCATGGCTACCTTTTCAAGATGTCGCAGGGAACTGTGAACGGGACTATTGAGGGAGTTCAACTTCTGCTATTTTACCTTGGAATTTCTGCTGTTGTTTCTGTTACTGTGACTGACCCTCTTCCATTTTGCTCGTAAACATTTTTGCCCAAATCAATACTGACAACATAGCCATATTTGCGCTTCAGTAATTCTCTGGACACTTTTAAACCTTCATATAGTGCTGCAAGGATGAACATAGCAATACAGGACCCAACTAGACCTGAGAGATATCAGATTATTAATCATCAGATATGCAATCAATTTAATGATAATAATCTGTGTAATTATCATTGTCACCACCACCATCATCATCATCATCACCAACATCATTTTTCTTCACAGTAAACCAACATGATACCATAATCATGATTTTCACATTTATTATTATATTTTTACGATATTATTATTACTATTTTTAATTATTTTCTTGATTATCATTTTATATTGAAGGTAGTAGTTTCGTTAAAACAAATTCCATCCCATCATCACTATAACTGGTTTTTTTTTTGTCTCACTATTGTTCACCTCAAAATCAACATGTTTTGTCCAAACRAATACAGTACTCTGCAATGGGTGCATGAGACTGACATACTGATCTTTCTTGGTGTTGCAAAATGTCACGTTTCATATTCTGGGTTGCCGTTCTTTGTATTGCAGGGTATCGTTTAATTCTTAACTCGTTGTTAACTTTCTCAGCTTTTGTTTTGTCTTTATGGATCAGGTGCCCTGCAACACCAATAGTCCCTTTCACAGTTCCCTGCGCCATCTTGAAAGGTAGCTGTACCTTTGCATCGAAGCGAGACAAATGGTGAGCTTGCAATGATGGAGACATGCGAATAATTGTCCAAGGTGTTAAAAAAAGGTCTCTATCATTGCAAGCTCACCGTTCATCTCACTTCGATGCAAAGGCACGGCTATCTTTCAAGATGGCGCAGGGAACTGTGAAAAGACTATTCTTGTTAACTTAGTGAGAAACCCACCTCCAACTGTGTCCACTGACCATCCTTTAAAAAGAATTGTCACCTTGGTGCCTAGGTGGAAGTACATCTAAAAAAATTAATGCAATATCATTCATGAATAATCAATTTTTCAAGGCTATTCTCGTTTGAAGGGCTTTTCAAGTGCTCTTTCATATGAATTTCAAATTTGAGGTGTTTTCAAGGAGATGCATGTCAATTCTGTATATATATATATAATGGGCTTTATAGACAGGTTAGGGAAAGGATAGGGTTTGACCCTCTTGATTAATCGATTTTTATGATGCTATTCTTGTTTGAAGGGCTTTTCAAGTGCTCTTTAATATGAATTTCAATTATGAGGTGTTTTTAAGGAGATGCACGTTGACTCCGTATATAAATAATGGGCTTTATAGACAGGCTAGGGAAAGGATGGGGGAACCTTCAAGAGGAATCAACTTTTCTAGTGCTATTCTTGTTTCAAGGGCTTTTTAAGTGAAGACCCTAAAATGAATTTCAAATATGAGGAGTTTTCAAGGAGCTGCATGAATCTATATAGTTTAATGGGCCCTCATAGACAGGCTATAGTGAAGAAATGGTGAACTTTCTTGAGGAATCAACTTTTCTAATGCTGTTCTTGTTTCAAAGGCTTTTCAAGTGTTTACTCTTTAAAATGAATTCCAAATTTGAGGTGTTTTCAAGAGGGTGCATTAACTCTAGTTAGTCAGGTCTAGCCGATCTATCCAATATGGTTGGCATATGATGACTATGGCCATGTTAATGTCCTTCTTCATAGACTGGCTATGAAAGGAATGGAGAACCTTTTCTTTTTTGAGGAGAACTCCGTAGTATGTGCTAATTAATGATTTGAACCTTAGTTCAAATTTAATGGATAGAAAAATTGGTGGGTGGATGGATGGAAGGGTGGGTCAATCGATTGGTGGGTGGGTGGACGGATGGGTGGATGGATAAGTTAATGGATGGACAGACAGATGGGTAGGTGAGTGGATGGATGGCTAGATGAATCAATTAACATATGAATAATTCAAAAATGTTTAGACTTTGTTACAAACTTTCAATTTACAACTTCTTTCACACACACACAAAAAAAAACTAAAGGAAATATATAAGATATTTAAAAAAATTACTTTRAATGTTATGAAAAAATTTAAACACCATGAGCATAACAAAACAAACAATACCAAAAACATCTGGTTTTGTTGAATAACCCCACTGATAAACAAATAGTAAAGAAACCTTAAAACACACACAAACACACATTTGAGTTAGAAATTCAATATAATCCTTCCTTGTGATACACCTACTTGCAAGAAGTGGGTACACCTACTTGCAAGAACGTTGTCATACAAGAATAGAACATTAGTAATTTAGTGAGAAAGGAATACATTAAAAGACAAAGAAAAAGTTCAGCTTCAGTGATCTTCTTTTGTTTTTTATTATAATTCCTATCCCATTAAATCCCTAATGTTCTATTTTTGTGAGAAGGAAATGAAATATTAGAAACGAATTGCAGTCAACTAAATTTTTCCCCCTTTATTGCCTTGGAAACATAGGCCCTTCATCAATATTGTCAAAAAGATGAGGTGCATTGTAACAAGGATTTCCTTTTTCGTGATCAGAGATATTTTCAGCTAGGGTCCACAGCTGCCTGGATATTTCGATTGATGGATGTAAAAATAAATTGAAAAATCTAGAAGTTATGAAGGTCAAACAAAGAAATAAAAACTGCATGTACTTGTACATTTAAAAACACTATCGATTTTTTTTTTTTTTAAACTTCAATGTACGAATTTGTCATTAGTACTCAAAATTCAACAAATTATGCTAGCTATTAAATGGTGTAATTATCAACTTAATTCACAAGTATAAATACAGCCATAAACATTATAATGGCTTTCTGGACTAGTAGAAATGTTGCTATGGAAACAGAAGTGCTTTAAAAAACCTTAACTGCATCATTTCAAACTCTTTTTACCACCAAGTAAAAGGACTTGACAACGTGTATTTAGGAAGGATYGTTTTTAAAGGATTGTTTGTACAGCTGGGTAAATGAGTAGAAGTTCATTCTTCACAGTATGTTAAAAGAAAAGATGTTGAATTGTACATATCATTTATATTGCTAAAACAATAGGTGTGAAATTGTATGAAATAAGAACAATGCAACTTAAAAGAAAAACTAAGAGTTTTTAAATGGGTTGAAATAATTTTTTACAAAACAACAAATAAATATAACAATGAATGAAAATGACAATGATAAAACAAGGTAAATAAACTATGTGGAAAGGAAAAAACCTTAAAAGATAAAACTTTTTCTGAGATTTAAAAACAAATTAAATATTAGGAAAATATACACCTACTTAGTAATTTGGTGAGAAAGGAATACATTAAAAGACAAAAGAAAATGTTCAGCTTCATTGATCTTTTGTTTTTTAATATAATTCCTATCCCACTTAATATATCACTAATGTTCTATTTTCGTACGACAACATTCTTGCAAGAAGGTGTATATAAAAGGTATATGAGTTTTAAATTTCTCATAGATCTTAGTTCTTCTACACATGATGGTCATGACAAATGGTCAGAATAAGATAAAAATAATATTTGTATATTAAATATTTTTCATTTCAAGAATTCAACAAACTCTTTTATTCTTTATATTTATATCCAAAAATTAAGACTAAGACGTTCATATGTATTATTATTTATTTATATACTGAAAATGTGAGATATTTATTATGAACTGTAGTACATAATTTTAGGAGGAGGGGACGATTTGAAGCCCTTTTTCAGAATTTGATATATGTTGGGAAATGAATAATTGTTATGGATGTACAAAACCATATGAGAAATACATACATGAGAATTTTTGAATTTTTGGGGGGGGGGGGGGATGAAAATAAAAGAACAATTAACACCACTTAAAATTAATAATCCCATTGAAAAGTAGAAATTCAAATGACAATGGTTATATAGCCTGCATACGTAGTGGCTACCCTTTCCAAATTCGATCTTGGGCTTTCACCTAGCATGGATCTGAGGGTTCCGTTCCTGATTGTCGCACTCTGTGATTATTGCCAAAACTGGTAGATTTTTTTTTTAATGGTTAAAGACCTGTAACAAAGTGTTTATGTACAACATTCAAGCATCATAATTGCTTTGCAAAAGCTTTAAACTTCATAAAGGAATCGTAGATAGTGTGAGTGCTAGTCATAGATTTGTTGCTATGCAATCTACAGGGTCATTAACGACTATAGAAAAAAAAATTAACATTTATATAACCACAGTGGTAATGGAGTTCAAGTACATGATAATGAGGGGAAAACTACTTGGTTAAATCATAAATAAGACGTTAAATTAAAGATTTGTACCCATAAAACAAATACTTAAAGTTGTGAATCGACTAGTATGAACTTTTTTGAGTTGTTGAAGAAAAGATTTAAAGAATTTTTTCATCTTGAAGTGAAAGAATTATTTTTAATGTAAATCAGCTTATTAAGCTTAATAATATTAGGGATAAAAAATGAATAGATTTGTATTTAAGTTATTAAGATTGCTACAAAAACGATATTTTAGCTTTTAATGATTAATAATGAATCTATAATGATGTGTAATATGAGATTTATAAGTTAGCATGTTTAGCAAGTATTCAAGCAAAAGAGCAAACAAAGACGAACGACGCGAAAATGAACTCAAAATGATGCATGTCTGGGCTCATACTTTGAAATAAGAAGGCTATAAAACGTGAAGAGCAAAATCGAAAATGTTAATATAAATTTTAAGGATCTTTAAAATTTTTTAGGTATCAAATAAGATGTCAGATTGTTTTTATGGTTGTGAAGATTACACTTACTTTCATCATCATTCCGTCCATACCATCCATATTCATCCCCATTGAAGAGTTTTCTTTCGTCATGTTATTCATGGACATCATTTTGGACGAGACGATTATAATYTTAAGAGAAGAAGATGAGGTTTTAACACGTTATTATGATCAAGCACTGAAGGAAGTTGTCTGTATATTAGATATTTCAGTGACCCAAAGTGGCTTCCAACTCTCAACCAATCAAATCGCTAGAAATCCATTGACGTCAAACCTCTTTAGACGAAGCACGGTGATTGGATTAGAAAATAAGGGGGCGAGCTGAATAGGAATCTGCTGCTCTCTCAATCGAGCAAAATAATGGAATAATAGTGCTTCAAATGTCACTTTTGAACATGAATAGACATAAATATCCGACTTTAGAATACCATTAAAAAGAAAAAATTCGAAAATTTTTATGATATAAACTTAGCACAATTTTAACCATTGACAAAAAAATTTAACTGAAGCTTTAGGTTTAGTTCTTAAGTCTTAAACTTACTACAAAATAACACGAAAAAATTCTTTGAAATAAGAAATTTTATTTATAGAAATAACAAAATATATAAATTTAGATAAATTATGATTTTGAAATAAAATGAAGGAATCAAAAAATTATTTATTCCCACTTCTGGCTTTTAGGTTTCTGGTCGGGAATCTAAATTCATTCCAGTTTGTCTTCTTAGACAAAAACATATTTTTTATTAAAGACAATTATCGATAATTTATTATAACAATATAAAGTTTTTATCAGGCGAACACTTCCCAGGTGTGGGATCCCTGTTGTATCAAGTAACGTCTGGTAGTTATTATAGTCAAGAGACAATCATATGACCTTCACTTCGAAAGCAAGGCTTTTCAAGAAAGCAAACTTGTTTTACAGGATTTTAAGGCATTATGTCTTGAAAATAACCTTTCAAATTCCCCCTTAATGCCTCTGTTCTTCGAGTGTTAAATGCATACAGATTTTACGAAGACTTTGGTGAAAATTAACTACATTTTGCTGTCGACGTCTTTGCATTACCTGCGAAATTTGTCTATTTTTACATGTCAAAATTAACAAAGTTGATATGTTCTTGAGTTTAAAGGTAAGTATTATGTACTAATTGATACATTTTTGTAACTATACTGGCCATTTTTTAAAATAAATTTATGTTAACAATATAAATGTGCATCTGTACTAAATATTGCTAGAGTGGGCTTCCTGTGTAGATATCAAAATATCAACTAACAACCGTGGTTGTTGATAACAAAGTATTCCTCATTATTTTTTTCTGGTAAGATCAACCAACATGGTGGCTGTTTCATTGTTATTTATATTTCAAGGGATTTTGAGTGACATGGTTGCACCCCAAAAATTTGTGGGAAGGTGATGTTTGCTGACAAAGCAAATAGAAAGACCTATCTTTTATGTCTTGCAGATTTGAAAATAAACTATCCTACAAAAATACAACTTGACTAAAAATGGAAATGTACTTCTCAACTCATTTTGAAGGAGTCTATGTTCTTTTTAAAGGATGGAAAATTACATCTGTAGCAGGTATTAAGGCTGCGTTTATAATGTATGGCAGAGGGGGGAGGGGGGGGGGGGCAGGTAAAATTTAGTGGGGGCCGAAAAATTTTTACCAGTAAAACAGGGGGGTTTGAATTTTTTTTCAGAGGATTGGGGGGAATGCAAAATTTTTAGAAGAAGCTACGAGAGATTGCCCGGTGGGGATAGTTATTTTTGGGGGGACTTCAAGGGGGGGTCTTAAGAATTTTTTTGTCATTTAAAGATTTCACCTACCCCCCCCCTCCCTCTGCCATGATACATTATGAACTTGACATTAACTATTTAATTTGAAAAAGTTTTGACATTGAATAAGAATAATGATTACAGTACGTTTGATATTGAGTTTTTCAAGAAGTGAAAGCTTAAAGAAACTTGAACTGGCATTTTGGGTGTCAATCCTTTATCGGAGTAAAAAAATACATTCTCTACTAGAAAAGCTTGTCTAAAAACCTTTTATTGATGTTTTGCAGGTTTGGTTTTGTCAGTGGTGATAGTGTTTGTATTTGCTGTCATTTTTGAAATTCTAAAAGCTTATGTGTCCGGTTGTTATAGCAACCCCCAGTCATGTGAGGAAGAGCAGCCTCTTATTGCTGATAGCGCAATTGGTGATACTCTGTCTCATCCACCAAGGTATTAACCCAATTAGCACCAAAAATAAGGTTTAAATGATGATGATTAGGGACATAGGCAGGGGGAGCGAAGGGGGCCATGGCCCCACCTCCGTAAATACAAAATGACAGCTTTTTAGATTTTATGCAGCAGTAATTTTAAATGTTGTTTCCCTAAATTTTGCAAATTTAAAACGTGAAACATAATGCCAGTTCTTTCTTTTCTTTTCTTTTTTTTTTTGAGGGGGGGGGGGGGTTGGTGTTTTAGTTGCCCAAACAAAATGTCAGATATTTGAAATTTTGCCCCCCCCCCCACTTTTGGAAATTCCTGGCTACGTCCCTGATGATATAGGTGACATTGATGATTTTCAATGGCTGTTAAGAATTAAGTTATCTTGAAACATAACTGTCTTCACCGCCAACATTATCATCAACATTAGCATTATCATAATCATTACCATGCATATATATCATTTAATGATTTAGTTGATTGTAAAGTTTGAACGTCCRAGTAAGTACAGTCTTGAGAAAGACTGTTGTTGGTGACAACTGCCATTTTGAACACCTGAGTGGAAGTCACCTTCAGAGTCTTTTGTAAGGTGCTGGTAATGGTTGACTTTGATAGATCTTAATGACTTATTTGGTAACTTTTTTAAATTTCTGTCTGCTTTCTATGATAATTAACCTCAGTTTTAAACTTTTATCTCTACAGATTTGACCTCAAAAATCATTTGATAAAAACATTCTTTTTGACCCTCAACATAGTTTATGGATATATACTGATGCTTGTTGCTATGACCTTTAATGTATGGCTATTTTTAGCCCTTGTCATTGGCTATGGCTTTGGCTACTGGTTTTCACAGCCACATTTTGAGCCAACTCCTGTTCAAAGAAGAAACAAGACAAGTTCCTATGGAGCAGTCAGGGATAATCATGTTTCTATGTGAAGAATAGAATGTGCTGAGAACTTATGTGGTAATTATGCATTAGATCAGCCTTGCTTTGGCAAAGGATAAGCTTGATTTATGGCTTCCTGTCAACACCACCCCTCTCTTTAGATGAGTGATACAGGCTATTTAGCCTTTCAATGTTTTCCCATATCAAGTCTTATGAAAATAAGGGCCCTGTTACATGCTGAAACTTGTGTGCAACAGCTTTTTAGGACAAGTTTCATGGATGTGTTTACATGGCACAATATTAGGCTTTGTGAAACTTTGTTGCGATATAGTTCCATAAAAAGTAGAACTGCTTTCTTGTGCAACTAAAACTTGTGTTGTGAACAAGATTCAGGACAAAATTGCTCCATGTTATACCCAGTGAAACTTGTCTTGCAAAGCCATCACATGCAAGTTTAAGCTAAAATTTTCAAAGTGTAAGAGGGCTTTAAGATTAACTGTTGTCTTATCAGCATTCTTAGGGGTCATCCATTAATTCTTGAGTGGGTGGGGTTGGGCAAATTGTTTTGCTGTTCTCCTTTTAAGGGAGTTTAGTAACAGATTTTGCGTTTGCTGCTGAAGATATATATCTTTTAGTTCCTAAGAGTGGCAATGGAAAAATTTTTTAAAAGTTTTTTTCAATTTTCCCACAACCCTAAAAACAATGAATAATTCCTAACATATATTCTAAAGCATCGTTGATAAACATGGAAATAATACTCAAGGGAATTATGCATGCCAGGGGCAGATTCAGAGAATGGGGTGTATTTTTTGTACTTTTTTTTCCCAAAGTATATCTCAAAATGCAGCCCATCCCCTTTCTCTTTCAATGGGAAGCCTGAAGGGTGGAGTAGTTGTATGCTCTCGCCCAGTACTACTATGATCCTTGGTTCAATTCCCTGACTCGACACCATATAAGTGAGATGAGCTTGTTTTTTGATTTTGATCTCCATTGCATTGAGGGTTTTTCTCTGGGTTCTCCAGTTTTCCTCACTCTGCAAAAATCAACCCTAATTCATTCTGAGCTGCACTCCTTTGTAAGACATAAGTAGTATGTAGACTGTCTGTGGCACCTATGTATGCCTTTCACTTGACCATGATCAAATTGTGTCCTTTGCAATTTTATTGTGCTATTTAGCTGCAAGTAAAGGTGCTGACACACGGTGCAACAAAATCACACAACATCGCTTGTGTCAGCCTGCTATGTTAAGATGTTTGGTCAGCAGTTATATATTTGGTGCAAGCTGATTGGCTGGAAATTTCAAAATGTTGCAGGTAATGTTGCAGCCATGTTCACATGATGAAATTTGTTGCACGCATTGTTGCAAGAGTAGAGCGCGATTCAGCTTTAGATTTGTTGCGTGCAACAAGTTTGGGGTAGACGCACGCTGCAACAGTCCTGTTGCATGTAATGTTGCATGCAATATTGCACCGTGTGTCAGCACCTTAAGGATGATTAGCCACTCATTTTTTAATCAATATATTTTTGATGATTAGCCAAACATTATTTAGTATAGTTTTTTCTCAGTCCTGAATCTGCTCCTGCGTGTTCTGAAATCATCAAATCTAGACAAAGAAATTAGTATTCCTAAGTAGAGGAATTAAAAATTAATCGGCAGTCAAAGATAAAACTCCCTGAAGAGTTGCCGAATATATCTACCTATGAAAAGTCATAGAAATAATATGTATAGAATATTAAGACTCTTCGATATGATAATCTAATCAAATATTTTTATTAGTTTGAATATTTTAAATATTTTTTGAATAAAAAATAGAACTTCTGGCACAGGAGAATACTATTCATTTTAAAGTAAAAAATGTTAGCGTCAAAATGAAAAGCTAAGGAAATAATTCTGGTTTCAGCAAACAATTTAAGCAATTCCACTCTATCCTATTCTTGATGTAAAAAAAATTTTTTTTGTATCATTTTCTCCCCTTTATTTCAGCATTCAATATTACTGAAATCGCATCTCCTTTAACAGGCCATAGTTAATTCTATTAAGTCTGAACAGGCAGACCAGCCCTCCCGCCCTAAACCCTGACCCATAAACGAAACGCAGAAACCAACATCTATGATAATCGAATTCCGGGAAAAACCACTCCGAAAATACAGCTACTAAAACTTCTTTTATTTGTTTTATTTTTCATTTTCATTTGCAGGAAACTTGGAAGATAGAGCCTTTTGTTTTGGGAAGGTCTTTTCCTTGACCTTCATTCTGCCGAGAACCATCATTTTGTACAATTTTAACATATAATTTTATATACTCGGGTTACGTCTTACGATAATATTCTAATGTTGATATATAAATAATCCTAAAGCCTCACTTTGGCTATGTAAATTAGAAAACAAAAGTTGTCTATCTTATCACAACCTCTTTCTTTCTGCACAAACAAAAGGGTTCTCTGTTTCAACACTGACGAAAGAAGACTAAAAGTCCTGCTAAAATACACACAAGTCCCTTAAGTCAACTGATCGATCATCGACGTATAACCAAATCTTCCTTCGAAAACTGGAATCAGCAAAAAATATCCTTTTTGCTTCTGTAACTTGCAAGTTACGATCTTTAAAAATTTTCCCATTAAAGTAAGATTCTCCGATGAGTTAAGTTTATTGTTTTTAGCTATTAGAAAGGAATCGTATCTGAAGACGTAAAGTTCTTAGGAAGGCTTTATGTTACCTGGGATTTCTCTGGGTTGCTGTACGAATGAGATCGACTTTTTCTTCCGTCAAATCAAGCCCATTATTTTGCATTCTGACACCAATAAGTTATGGGTGACCGTTGCGCGGTATACGTGGCTTAGTCCTACTTCATGCCTAGGCCTGTATAACTCTCGTATCAATATGTGAGTCTGACCTCAAAGGTTAATAATAATTTCGTTGAGTCTATTATCATGTCAAGTATAAAGACGTGCACATCAGACGCTAACTCATTGTGACTTACTTAGAGACGGAAATAAACTACAGACTGGTCGTCAAGGTTACCGAACAGTCCTTTAAAATTTATGATATTTTAGCGAACCAGTTCTTCGCAGACGAGCATATGTTATGACGATCACACTAGAATTTTTTATTATGTAAACTTTCCGAACTATACTGGATAATTTATCGACATAATTGCCTATTTTGTGTTTCTTGTCCAAAATAACTGAAGCAGACTCTATATCAAAGCTCAAAGAAGAACAAGGAAAAAGAGTAAGTACTTTGATATTCGACTCGTATAATGACGTTAAGCACTTTTCATACCGTTGTGACCAAGGGCACTACACACTACGGGGTCCTAGCTCGTAGGCGTTATTCCATCGAGTTACGGGGAGTCAGTACGCGGGAATTCTTAGCTTTTGTAAGTCAGTAAAGCGCCTGCTGCGAGGGCACAGAACGGGTGAAACATAACAACAGATGGAAGTAACATAACCTTACCCGTTTATCATCTGCACTGTCAAAGTCCCAATAAGGGATTTTGATTTACCACTTCTGAGGGTGGCCGCTTTATAGTAGTTCTCTACTTTATATCAAGAGTAATTTATCGAACAGGCGGTCGCCTTGGAACGATACACTCACTAACCACTCCTCCCTAAAAAAAAAATGTAACGGTATTTAACTTTGTTTTGCTTGCTCAGTTCATCAAGTTCAAGTTGTGTGATTCCACAAGACTGAACACGACATACATCGAAAGAAAATATTAGCCTTTTTGCTTTAAAATGGTTGCTTTTTCCGATACGAGGGACTTTTACGTTTTGATAAAGCCTTGGAGAATCTTATCTGACAGAGGTGAGTATCAATCAGTTCCAATAATCCCACACTATAGTAAATATATTTTCCTTCGATATAATTTCCTTGCGATAAATACTTTTTAAGAATGTAGTCGTACTTGCACATCATATCACATTAAATAATTTAACTTGTTAATTCCCTGTTTGAAAGCAATAGAAATAATCATTTTGATGTTAAAACTATAATCTTAAAACTTTAACTATTTTTAGACAGAGTACAGACAATATTCAAACGCATGAACAACTATTTGACTAGTTGCAGTATTTTTTCCGGCCGTAAAGGTTCTACTCTTATAAAGGAAATTATAAGTTGTTATATATCTTTTAGGTCTGTTCAGTATATGTTTACATAACTGTGGATAGGGAAAAGTTAAGTTGCAACATCCAATCCAAATTTCTTTCACGTGTTATTTGTTCCTATTGTTTAAATTTGTGGTCGTGCGCATGCAAAGACTAACAGACGAGACGAAACGATTTTTTTGTACAGTAATTGAGAAAAGGTTAATCCCTTGATCTGGAAACTGAAATACTAGTGAGGGGTAAAATCTTGGAATGACTCAGAGCAAAAATTATTGAAATTTGAAAATATGTTCGGAACGCCTCCTACATACACTCTCATCAGTCAAGTGTTAGATGACAAGGGCTTTTTATACTTAATGATTACTTAATCATTTAAGTCCAACGTAGCAAAAAAGATTCTTAACAATTGCAGTGCGTGCGTTACATTAAAAGCATGCAATGTTAAAACAAATGTTCTTCAAAAATTTGTACTTAATTTCTACCCCATTTAACACCCAAGCTAAGTTTTTGAAAAAATTCTTTTATTTGAATTTTGACCTCTGACAACATACGCTTTCTGTCTGATGCATTCCATAATGCCATCATGAATAGTAAATTATATGGCGTCGTACGTGTTGAAAAGCCGATAAATTCGATGGATTGCATTTCTTGCGTCACCACTGCAGCGCCATCATCAAACGTCTGCAAGATACTGTGTTTTGGATGTATGCTGTGATGTTGTCGTCACTAGAGTCAAAATGGGAATTTTCAACAATTTTACCAGGGGCGTCACGTTGTAACATTCTAGAACGGCGACTTGCGCTTTGGATCACGTGACCCTAGCCCCTGTAAACGAGCATCTGTTTGAAAATAAACACCAGAAATGAAAAGAGCACCTCAACTTCAACACCTCAAGACAGTCTTCAATTTCTAGCATGTAACGCGTCTCTTGGTAATTACGTACGCAAGGGCGGATCCAGGGGGAGGGTCGGGGGGTCGCGACCCCCCTGTCATTCCTGGGGTCAAATGGGCTTCCTGTGGTAAAAATGCGACTGGGATTCCTTTGCCCACAAAATTTACCCCTGAGACCCCCCTTCAAAAAACCCTGGATCCGCCCTTGGTACGGTAAGGTAGAGCAGTTTTTATATCTGAAAAACGTGCACCGTACACCTTTACCGTGACCGAGCTCCGTATCCGAGCATTCTGATTGGATGATAAATGATTTCGAGCGCTGTGATTGGTCGATTTCGTGCCAAGACGTTCCCATTTGCTGTGGCGTTTTCAATAATTATACATGATGGTGCTAGCTACTACAATATATAAACGTAATTTCTACGAATTTTCTCTCTTTCAGGGCTGACAGGCTCCTTTGTCGCTGTGTTTGCCTTAGCAATCTTCAATGAATGCCTCAAATACTACAACGCGTACAGGACCTACAACCCACTACAGACCAACAGAAACGCTATAACTACTAACGAAAGGTAGCTAAAATAATAAGAAATGAAGTCAAAACAATTGTCATTTCAACTGGAAATGTGACTGTTTTTTTGGAAATTTCTACCTGCATGATTTCTGTCTCTTTCTCTCGCCGTCTCTCGGTGCTGCCCAAGAGGAACGTGGACTCTGGGTACGAGTTTTTTATGATCATTATTTTGATCAGTATATGGGATCATTTGCATAGTGAGCCCCGCCCTTTACATGATTGACAGAATCGGGGGAAATGTGTGCGAAATCAACTTTGAAAAACGAAGGGACGCGATGTTAGAAATCTTGCAGTAAAGGAATATTTTTACTTTTTATTCTACAGGATGAGATTCCTGGCAACGGCGACATCCTCGTACATGGTTCAAAATACCCTGTCTTTTTTCATAATGCTCGTGGCCATGACATACAACGTATGGTTGTTCGTGGCGATAGTGCTGGGCCAGAGTGCGGCATACTTAGTATTCGTACCTTTACTAGAACGTTATATGTACAAAAAATACCGCAAAAATATGCTGAATCGACATTACGAGCCAGTAACAGCAACATGACAGAATGAGAAGAATTGTTAGCGATTGACTCAAGGGCGCGGGATCCAGGATTTTTTTAAGGGGGGAGGGGGGGTCCCTACACTCAAAAAGTGACGTCATTTTGAACGTCATACATAGGAACAGAAGCAGGTCTTTGTTCCCTAACTAAACAAACTAAAGCATTTAAAGAAAATACAGATTCACAAA